ATGACTGTTGTTTCCTCAGTTTCTCCGAAGAAATGAAATTCTGATTAGCTAGTAAAACTGGGCTGGCCATCTACTTGAGAGGAGCTAGAGGAATGGCAGAGGAAAACTTCTTTATATTCTCACAGCTTTTCTTTTACACCGCCAAATTATTAAGAGAAATACAACAGTAGAAATGGATTATCACAGGATCTTTAAAATCACCGTCAAAGTTTCAAGTAAAAGCCCAATTTGCAAAATTGGCTTCGTGCATTCACATATAGTATGAGGCATTTCTATGAGTTATCAAAGCAGACCCAGTACAGCATGGTGAAGCTGACTCACAACCCCGTGCTCTCTGTCTCTGGTGTCTGCAGCCCAATCTCACACTGTATGTCACTGGACTGGATGAATGGGGCTTTTTGTTGCCAGGCCTGCTGCTGGTTTTAAAAGAACAGACTGACCTGATGCTGCTCATCATCAGCAATTAAAAACTAAAAAAAAAAAAAAAGAGCTCATCAGGTCTGTCCTTTGCACAGCAGCTAATGAAAAGTGAGCATGGCTAAAGTAGAGACAACTCAAAAATGTCTGCTGTGCATTATAACAAAGTTGTAATGCTATTGATCAAAATAAAAGTAAAAGTTTAAGTTCTTTGATTATTTATCTTACAAATGACGGGAGTGGGTGTCTGCAAGGTGGCTAGCATCGTTGCCTCACAGCAAGAAGGTCGCCGGTTGGTGTCCCGCTGAGGACACTCAGGATCTTTCTGCTTGGAGTTTGCATGTTCTCCACATGCAGCATGGGTTCTCTCCGGGTTCTCCGGCTTCCTCCCACAAGGTCCAAAAACATGTTGAGGTTGATTGGTGATTCTGGATTGTCCATAGGTGTGAATGTGAGTGTGCTTGGTTGTCTGTCTCTAAGTGTAGCCCTGCCCAGGGTGTCACCTACCTTCACCCTAAGTCAGCTGGGATAGGCTCCAGCCCCCCGCGACCCTAATGAGGATTAAGCGGTGTATAGATAATGGATGGATGGATGGGGGACAGACGATGACACATACTATAGATGTTTCACGACCTATATTTTTAATTTAAAAAAAAAAAACAAAAAACAAAAAGCACACAGACTGTAGTTCAGCTGTCCCTCAATTGACTGTTGGTTACAGAAGTGAAAAGACATTTACAGAAACAATCATTTTTCTCCAATTTTTACTTGACACATGTAAAATAAAGTGATTTTGCTAAAGTGTCATTATTTTGAGCTTAGATTCGGTTAGGTTTCTCAACAGAACTGTCATAGAATTGTCTTTTTTTATTCATCAATGATTACTCAAACTGGTTAATTGAAATTAAAAGCAGTCCACGAATAATTTTAAAGTTGACTCTGTTGTTAAAGTTTCAGCACCAGCTACACCAGTAAGTCACCACTTCATTTGTATCCACAAAATTGGAAATTCTGCTTAGTATCCCCAGTATTGATGGAAAAAGCCAGCCAAAAAACTATAGTATAATTTGAATGTTTAATGCACTTACAGAAAATGTCAACGGTTTCATGAATTAACCTTTCTTTCGAGAGCGAGAGCAGCTATTCTTTTATATTCAGCATGTCGCAGGTTGTTACTATAAACTGATTAGGCTTCTAAGAAGTGCTCGGTTTTTCTGCGAGCGAGCTGGACGGAGGGAGAAGCCCATGTGTTTCTGATCAGCCTCCACGCTGCTTCATGCCGTAATGTTTTCATCCTCCTCATGACCTCATCATGTGTCTGGGAGTGGAGAGGAGGAGGACACCATGAAGTCATGAAGGCGGGCTCATTTCTACTCAGTTTTTACTCTGAACACACAACACACTCTCACACTCTTTTTCTCCCTATTTTATCCACATTACAGCTTTGTCTTTTGCTTTCTCTCCATCTTTCTTTAGTCTTTCTTCAGTCCTAGTAACTTCTCATCCTCTCGAAGCCTATCCCTGGATTTTAGTGTAAAACAAGTTTTTAAAAATGGCAACGTTAACAGTGTCTCTGCTAGACTTTTTGCACATGGCTGAATGAACACAGGAAGATTTGAGCACAAATGCATAATGTTTTGTTTTCATTTTTGCATTAAACGGAAGGAAATAACCTACATTACAATAAAAAAAGGTTATAAAGTGTAAGGTGAAAAGCAGATCATACTTTCCCACCGTGTTTAGACTGTGTAATATATACTGAGAGTGGTGTGATGGAGAATATGCTGTCAGATATTTAAAATTGTTCCTCTTCTGTTGAATTCCAGACAATAACTAGGAAAATAGTTTTTAAAAGTTTTAGTTTAGATGTTAACCATGAAAAACAGACTACAGCCATAAATATTGTCCACAAATAATTTCTCTTTTACAATCGATTTTTCTCAAATGTATGCAGTGTCATTAGTTTGTTAACTTTACGACCATTTCTGTACATGCTAAATTGCCGAATTTGTTTATTTTTTGTTCTTTTTAATACAAATTCTAATACATTTGCTCTGTTTTTCTGTTATTCTTAAGTCCATGATGTAAGTCCAAATCAGCAACATTTCTGGCAAATATTGCAAATGATAAAGTTTTCAATAATCCATGCAGTTGATGTAAGGCTTACTTTTTGCAAAACCTTGAACAAATACAATTTTGCTTTGTAAACGGAAATTCCAGTACGATCAAAAAGTTCCAGGACTGCACCTATTGAATCAACAACCATACCTAGTTTAAATCTAACCAATCCTTTTTGTTTAGCAATTCAGTGCTCCTGCCACTCTTGTAACACTTCCTGGTTGTCCTGATATGTAATCACATCAGTCACAATCTGTGACACTTGCTGAATATCGTCCACTGTGTCACACAGTCACACACTCTACTTGAAATTTAGCACTGAAAAGTGCTGCTATGGCCAAAAGAATTCCATGTCTAATAGTGCGACTGGGCTGACAGCATCAATGTTTTACCTACATGCCATCGTGCCTAGGTTTAGGTTATATGGATCAAATGCTTTTTCTCAGTAGAATTCTGCCTTAACTGAACTGACAACACACAACCCTGTGAATGTCAAACAAAGTGACAGGCATGGTCTTGGTTGTGCTACTGGCATGATGCACGTTCTGTGGCCTTATACGAGGTGTGTCAGAAAAGTTCCAGGACTGGTGTCACAAAAGATATATTTCAAACCCAAACTACAGACTACCAGTTTTCCCCTTCAAATGATCAACCAGCACGTCTACAAAGAGATCTTGTGGCGTTTGCTTCATTCAGTGCGCCAGAAGAGGCGAGAGTTGTGGCAGGACAAATCATGACTGCTTCACCATGACAACTCGTCTGCTCACAACGCCCTGAGCATCCAGCAGTTTCTGGATGAGAAGAACATCGCCATGCTGGAGCAACCTCCCTACTCAGCCCACCTGGCTCCATGGGATTCCATCCTCTTCCCCAAGCTCAAGGGGGTCATCAAGGGGATCCGTTTTGAACAACATCAAGATGGCTGTGACGACGGAGCTGAGGAGGATCCCAGAAGAATCCTTCCAGTGCATGGCGGCGTGGCAGAGAAGGCTGGGGAAGTGTGCTAGACTCCAGGAGGACTACTTCCAAGGGGAAAACTGGTAGTTCGGAGTTTGGGTTTGAAATATATGTTTTGTGACACCAGTCCTGGAAATTTTCTGACACACCTCGTAGTCTGCAGCTCTTCCACTGTGAAAACTGCTGTTTGATCTGTGCGTCATAGCTACAGACTCAACTCCAATCACCAGTGATGACCCTCAACATGAAGCTTGGGTCAGTTTGACACGCAAAGTGATGTTTTGTTTTTTTTTTGCTCCAGTTTAAGGTCCATGCTGAAATTGCAGATGTGCATGGTAACATAAATGCATGTAGGACGGATCTTGATGTGGATAGCGCCGCGCCATGCAGCATTCTGGCTCTTTACAGCTATTGTTGTCACATTTTGCAGTCACATGACCGCCACACACTCCATGTACGTGCAACAGGAACAGAACCTTTTGATCGCACCAACTTGAACTGTTTTATTCTGGAAAAAAATTATCAAAAAGATGAGATTTTTCAACAAACAAAAGACTGCCTGAGTAGATTTTGCTAGGTTACGGTGCAATTTCACAAGTTCCCAGAAATGATTCATTCAGGTTCAGAATGGATTCACGTTTTTTACATTTTAGTTTCACCCTGATAGACGAAGAAGGAGTAGACACTGAGCTCCAACATAGTACGTTACAAGTTAACTAAATTAGGCTAAGCTGTTTAAAGCAAAACACTTAACATACTTATGAAACCTTAGGTACTGCAAGAATGTTTTTTTTCATTAACCACTTTAGCGTACGCGGCGCGGCGACCAGTTTTGTTAGTGACACAGCTCAGGAATGCCAGACAGCGCTGAAATGTAGCTGCAGGCAATCAAACATCTGAAACTCCTGTACGCGTTGTGTAATAAGTGGTAATTGGATCCCTCCAGCTGCTGTGGTGTTAATTGTCGTTTGTCTTTGTTCTCGACGGCCCGTGTGTTTTGTAGAGAGCGTGCGCGAGGCGGTGGGCCGGAGGGTGAAGCTGACCCTGAGGCGCAAAGTCCAGCTGGAGGTCAAAGGTGACAAGTTGGAGAACAGAGTGCTGGTAAGTGACAGGTGTTCAGTTTTTTTTCTAAATGCTGTAGTTTGATTAGAAATGGATCCACCTTTTTGTGATTGATAAAGTGTTACTGCTCCTAATCTTTGGGGAAATGCTGCTTGAAGAACTGGAGAAAAGCTGCCCTAAAATATGGAAGTGCAGACTGAAGGGAGAGACACCACAAAGCAGTTTTTATTCCTGCAGCAGTAATTTATCTCCTCCATCTTAACCCTCTGTATTTTCTGGACATTTTCTGTTGCTCCTGTCACATTTTTACTTGTTGTGATATCAATATAAACTGCAATATAAAGTCCTGCACTTCTATGGAGGCAAGAAGTAGAGAGAACTTGCAATACAACATGTACAACATTTTTCTAAGTGCCCTCATGTGTTACCAACACTAGAAATAAAGACGATGGCTCTACAGGATATATATACATTGATCAAAAAATTAAAAGCAACACTTAATGCTTATGTCATTTTGTCCTCAATAAATTACACAGTGTATATCAATGATTGGGCAGAGGAAAACAAAATGATTGACCCAATGAGGGAAGGATTAACGATCACTTAAGCTTCCTAACAAGACAGATCCCAAAAGTTTAGCTGAATTGACGTTATACTGTGATGATAAAGTGTTCCCTTAATTTTTTTTTGAGCGGTATATATACGAGATTCGAAGGCCTGTTTCCATGGTTACAACCTCTACAAACTCATGGTTTTCACACTACTCTTCACATTAACTCTGGAAGGATGTTTCACCATGCTGAATGTATCTTCAACATAACCTGCTGGCAACCTGCTCCTCTGTGTACCGTCTTTGAGGCATACTCCAGTTTATTGATCAAGTTTGTTTCTGATTCTCTTGTTGTTTCAGCCAAAAAGTCACAGAATTTTTATCAAACAGCTTTCAGTTGCAGCTGAGTCACTACTGCCTTCACGGTTGTGCTGAAGAGCACAGAATTTTTTCTTTTTTATAGAATCTAGTTAAAGCAAACAGTTTATTTTTTGCCGAATTTCAAATGAGACATGAAGAATAACGAGATTTTGATCAAATATTACAATCTGGTTCTGATAGATGGTGCTTTTTTGGTTATTTTCTTTAAAGATGCTTTGCCTTTCAGACCTACGTGTGGGTTTTGGGTTAATCGCAGAAAACTATTGATGTAGCGTTTTTCCCTCAATGAAAGTAACTCTGGCAATTGTGTGACCAATGAGAATTTGATCGGATGAGAGCATCACAACCAACCAGTCGACCAGTGGCTAATTAGGCTGTCCCGATTAGCTCTGTTTTTGAATGTAAACATGCAGGAGATGGTTTTTCGCTCTGTTTGCTTGCTGCCTGTCAGAGGGAGTGCCTAGCATCTGAAGCTAGAAAAATGAGTAAAAACGAAACCCAGAGACTCACCTGAAGGATAATGTTTCACAATCAAATAGTTTATTTTTTCCAAACAGCTTCAAAATCAGCTTCCAGTGTGTCATGCGCGAAACTGACTTTAACACAAAAAGTTTTCTGTGTGTCTTCTGAGTTGCGAGATTTTGGTTGACCCGCAGTAAGGCTGCATGTGGTTGTTAAATATTTTGGATGACTTCAGCTACAGTAGCTCAGTCTGCTGCTGTGAGTCATGATGGGAGCGCTTTCCTGTTTTTCTCTGCAACTCTACAGCTACAATCTTGGAAATTAACTGGTTAAACTAGCATACAGCTTTGTCCTGTGCTCCTTACTTTTTCATGCTTTTAGTTAGTTGATTGTGTCAAAAGTAACAAGGAACTTATCAGATGTTGCTGATTTGAAGTTGCAAGTTCAGTGAAATGGTCCCTGGTTTGTGGTCTGAGTTAAACCCTCGTAATTCACAGCAGTTTTCTGTTCCTGTCACATTTTTACTCACTGTGGGCTCATTTTTCAAGTCCTGCACCTCTACAGAAACAGAGCAACCATGACTAGAAGAGGACAGAGCTCAGAAACGTCTTCTGTGCAGTGTGAGACAGTTACAATGCCATAAATCATTAAAAAGACTAATTTAATCATTTGTTATTATACTAAAAAGTGATCTACATGTACAGCACTTTTCCAAGTGCCCAAAATACTTGAAAGAAATGGTGACTCTTTAAACTTGATGATTCATTTGTTTTAATACTTGTCACCTATCTGCGCTGTCTACACTTCCTGCAGTTCAGCCTCAATGTTGGTTGCTTTGTTGCTATGTTAGTGCAGATTTTTTTTTTTTTTTTTTTTTCTGTTGACAGAATTTGCTTCATGTAAGCATTTTTTTTATTGCTGCATTTTTAATGAGAGATAAAATAAAAAATAAAGTAAAATAAACTGATTTTAAAGAAGTGTAAGCTAAGATTTGAACGATTCTCCTGATGTACCAGCAAATGAGGAGTTCAGAGACTGTCCTAAAGTTTAGAATCTGACCATTCTGTTACAGTTTTTGACTGATAAATATTGTAACTTTGGTGGTTTTGTAAAGACAAATTGCCTTTCAATCCCAGTTATCATGTGTCATCGAGATGATTGGCCAAATCTTAGCTTGAAATCAAGGTATTATTTACTAAAACCACTTTATTTTGCATGTCTCATTCAAAATAAATAAAAAAATGTCTGTACTAAGCATTGTTGCCTCGCACCTAGAAGGTCGCATCCCAGTGAGGACACCTGAGATCTTTCTGCGTGGAGTTTGCATGTTCTCCCCGTGCAGCGTGGGTTCTCTCTGGGTTCTCTGGCTTCCTCCCACACAGTCCAAAAACATGTTGAGGATAATTGGTGATTCTAAATTGTCCGTAGGTGTCAATGTGAGTGTGCTTGGTTGTCTGTCTCTAAGTGTAGCCCTGTGATAGACTGGTGACCTGTCCAGAGTGTCCCCTGCCTTCACCCTAAGTCAGCTGGGATAGACTCCAGCCCCCCGCGACCCTAGTGAGGATTAAACGGTGTATAGATGATGGATGGATGGATGGATGGACTAAACAGATCACGTAAAAAAGCGAAAAAGTCCTACATTCTTCAACACAATCATAAAGCAATTACTGACCAGCTGGAGTGTGGCTAAAATGCAGGAATCTTTTGGTTGAACTGCAGGCTGTGTTTATGCAGAGCAGAGAGGAGCATTGAAACTTATTAAAAATAGTAGTCAAATATCTGTAAGACATCAAACCACTGTTTTTTCCAGTGTTGGTAACACATGTGGGCTCTTTGGAAAATGCTCTGCGTGTTGTGCCACTTTAGTAAAAAAAAAAATCAAAAGAATTTCAACTTTTGTTTTCTACTTGTTAATGATTTATGGTCTTCTAACTTTGTGTTTGTGGACAGAGCTGTTTGCGATGACTCTGGTTGCTTTCCAACCTCTGTTTGAGAATCATGGAAGGATTTACAAACACACTGAGGAAGAACGCTAAATAAGGAAGTCTTGTGTAAATGAGGATGATCTGATGATTCAGAGTCATGCAGATGCAGATGTGATGCAGCCGCAGTTGATGTATGTCTTGTTTGAAGTGTTGAAAGACGCTGAACACATCGCAGTGTGGGTGTGTGTGTGTGTTACTGAGGCGGGGTATCATGTAGCTGCAGGTATGTGGATTCACCTCAGCCCTCTGTGAGTGACTGAATGTGTGAATATGAAAAGGCAAATGGATAGCAGGGCTTAAATCTGGCACCTTCTGGTTAAAGCACTCTGCCTTGCTAACATTAGCCCAGGAATGCAATTGAACAAGGTTTTTAAAACAGTTTTAGTTTTTAACACCCATTTTTTTTTCTTTTGTCCGCATACCTCAACTCTTCAACTCCTGCCAGGACTTGACTGAAGCAGCCCGCTCACAGCCACAGGGTGCTGGGACACACATACAGCATTCCTCAGCTGTAGATCAGCAGATTAGAAACCCATTCTGTCATTTCTAGAAATGAGGCAAAACACGCTAAATGTGTGTAGTGTGTGAGGCGGGTTTTGTTTTTTGTGTAATTCAAAGCTCAGAGTGGTTTCTGAACCACTTTACAAGAAAAATAAACCAGTGAGTCAAAGCAGTGACACACTTCAATATGTGGAAGAAGGAACGACTGTGATAATGTGTCTCTTTTGGCTGTTGTGGTAACCACTCCACCTGAATGTTAAAGCTATTAATGCCTTAAGGTGCAAGTTGCCCAGTGGCCACTAGATGTTAACTCCGAAGTAAATTTAACCTCCTAAGACCTGGCGCCCACATGCCTGGACATCACATTTTGGGTTATATTACTACAGTAGTTATTTTATTTTTTGTGTGTTTTTTTTTATAGTTATATTGTTTTATTTATTTTTTATTTAACAAATATTTTTAAGGTATTTTTTCATATATTTTTGTTTTCTTTATATTTTTTTAAATTTTTTATTCTCTTTGCTATTTGATCAGATCAAGTAGCAAAGAGACATTTAAATAAAAAAAGCATATTAATACATTTTTTTAAATGGCTGGGTCTTGTGACTTTATGTCTATGGCAGTCGGATTCTACTGCGTGCACCCCAAAACTGTACAAACTGTTGAATATTTTCTTAATTAATTAATGAATTTATTGTTGTGTATAATTTATTTTATTTTTTTTAAGTGTTCCCCCAGCCCAAGATATAAAGATATATTTAGGTTGTTGTCATAGAGGAGAAAAGAAAACGGACATTTTTTACATTTACAAAACTGCTAAGCCTCTGAGAATGTAGACTTTTTTTTTTTAACTATTCAAACTGACTATCAAGGTACTTGGCGAGTAATTTGAGATACAACCAATCAACCAATCATTGCAGCTGTAGTGTACACAGTGCCAACATGCGCAAACTGGGCGATGTGTCCACTTATTAGTCACAACTAACAAATATTTTGTTGTTGTTTATTGAATATTTTCTCAATTTATCAGTTCATAAGTTGGTAAATTACATCATCTATCCAGGCCAGAAACTATAAAATCAGAGAGAATTGTCAGATTTTTGAAACTCTCCAGTGGCCCTTGGACTAATCATATGTCACAGAATAGAATAGAATAGAATAGAATAGAATAGAATAGAATAGAAAGTCTTTATTGTCATTATACAAGTACAATGAAGAAGCCATTTTGTTGAGAAAATTCACCAAAGCTTAAAATCAGGATATTTCATCAAAATCATTTTTACTTTATTTTACATGTCTCAGTTAAAAAAAAGTCCTTGCAATAACCACATCCGGTAAAAAACAGAAGATTCTGTTGTTAATAACTTGGATGTTTTGGCTGAACTAGAGTGAACTGCAGGCTGTGTACACTTTGCAGAAAGAAAAGAAATTAAGTATTAAAATATCTAATATGTATAGCTTCTGTTCTGTTTACTTCCAGAATTGATGACATCTGAAACAAAAAAATATGTTGTACCATATGTTCTAAGTTTTTTCTTTTTTTTATTAAATAAATAGTCAAAGAAATTCAACTTTCTTATATTCACTTGTTTCTAGTTGACAATATCCTCAATAACAAGTAGCGTCTCCTATATCGGCGTCATTACACACCTCCTCAGTGTAATTTTTACAAAAAGTACATTTTTACATCAGGAAGTGACTAATGATTTCTTTGATAGACAGCTCTTTCTGATGCAGACACTTCACACATATAATTTAACAGCCCACAGTCTGCACTTTAATTACTACATAGTCTGAATTGAGAACATACAGTGCGAGCAGCGCATCGTGGTTCACATTTCTCACCGTCTGTTAGCCATCTGCTTTCTGTTATCTGGTCTGCCTGCATGCACTCATTCACCTGCTCGCTCACACAATTCAGCTCAAGTCTGCAAAACACCTGAACCAGGATGTTTCCAGACTTTCCAAACCGAAACGGCATGTTCAGAATGTCATACTGTCTGCTGACTCGGTCTCACCCCTCCGACTCCCTGATATCACAGCCGATTGTGTGGGACTCCCATCGCTCACAGAGGACCTCATGTCTCATTGGCTGGTTTCAGACCTCAAACCATTTCGACCCAAGGCGACCTCGTTCACCATACAGCGGGTTACTGTACATACCACAGCTGGCTCAGCCTCCTGTCCACGCCCCTCGTGTAGCTGCGGCGAAAATGCAATGATGAGGGCCGTTTAACTCGCACCGTTTCAAGCCATAACTCAGCAAACATCTCGCACACTCGGGATGAGAATAAGCTGCTAATTTTGTCAGTTGAAAAGACGCTGGCATCAACTGAGCAAGCAGCCGTAATGTGTACTCACTCCCTGCCAGGACAGAGGTTCAACACGTGGTCAAAGATAATGTATGTTATTATCCCACTCAGTGAAGAAGCCTCTGCAGAGGCCAACGCTCCTGCTGGATCTCTGCAAGTGAACACAGACGAAGCTCAACACGGATGAGATTCTGAAAAAAATGTCAACGACAGTATCTCCTGCGTAAGCTGAACTCTTTCGGTGTGACCAAAAACATCCTCGCAACATTTTACTACTCCTTCATAGAGAGCATTATCACTTTCTCTTGTACTTGCTGGTTTCACTCTGTCTCTATCCAAAGTAAAAACCGGCTACTGAGTGTTTTCAAGGTCTGCTCCAAAGTGATCGGGCTCCCTGTAAGAGCCCTCTCCACCCTTTGTGAGCAACAGACCTTAAGGAAAGTCAGCATGATCCTTCAGGACCCATCACACCCACTGTTCCTTGCATTTGAGTGGCTCCCCTCTGGATGTGGCCTTCGCTGCCCAGGCTGCCGGACTCAAAAAAGGAGGGCAACTTTTGTTCCCAGAGCTGTCCTCCTTCTAAATGCACAACCATCTTTGACCCACTGACTCCCTGCCAATGCCCATGTAATATAATGTGATATTTATG